TCCCCATCTATTTTAGAAACAATGGAAAAAGTGAAGGAAAGTGCTGCAGATGACACTGTTATTTGACTTGACGAAACAGATGCAGTACTCGTAATAAGTGAAAACCTCATAAGGCAGCTTTTAGCACTGATGGCTAAGAGAAACTGCAGATCAGCCATTCCACTGAGCCATCTCCAAAACACACTTCATGTGACTAGCCCTAAAAGGGGCGTGGCGATAAGTGTATAGGTAATTGACACACATGTGCGTAACGCACACTTATTGGCAGCTATTCATCTTGGCATACACCCCAAGTGTAGTGAAGTGACAAGCAATAAAAATGTATTGCATATCATAACATGGCTGCTTCCTCTCACAAAGCTTTGCAGACCTCGCCAATCTCCACCAACCATATTATTTTCCAGAAACTGGTGATATTATCACAAATTCGGAAGGCAAAGCATCTCATTTAGTTTTCTTCAAACGTTCAAGTAGGAGCTATAGTAACGTAAATCTTGGCAGAGCATTTATGCAAATAATGCTGCATAATTTTGTCCAATTCATCGGGAAGGAAGCATTGAAACATGCGGATCGAACCATACTATGTATTCTCCACAGCGATATTCCACACGAAGAAGTAGGCCATTTTTGAAAAGATACAAAAAAAACTACATATTGAACCAAGCGTAGTCAACTTTTTTGTATGTTGTACGAGTAGGATAAGGCAACGCTTATATACTAAGCATTGCTCTTTTGCTGATGATCTTCAAGATTAATATTTAATACTGTCATACGCACGCAGTCGTTATGTATGTGCTTAAGAATTCAACCAGCACTCATGACCTCTCTTGTTTATTTCCCCAAAAACCTCTACAATTGCTTACAGAAAGGAAGGTTCGGAAATTTTCGTTATTAGGCCAACCCGTCCGAATAAGCTCACACTGCTTTTTCAACATATTTTTCTAATGCCCGCAAAGTTTGTAAGGACGACAACGAGCGACTTAACAAAAGAAAAGTTGGCCTCAGTAAATCACAAATCCAGTCGGCCAGTTCTGCCGCTGTGTTCCTAATTTTGTTACGATAAATTGTTAACAGTTGAAGTTTTTTTGCGTGAAGATTGGTACCTTTTCTATTTGCTTTTTTCCGAAATATCATTATTGTTAAGTAATCAGAAGCATGGCGACGATAATGAAAAGCAGTTGCACATATGAAGTTTTTGTTCTTACAATTGAAATATTCAAAGAGTTAAGTTAAAAAAAGTAGTCGCATGCCATACGAGCTCTGAAAAAGTTTGTAATGTTTCTTTAAAATGTTAATTATAAGCACATCAGAAAGCTGGGTGATCCAAAATGCGTTTTAACTACAAACAAGATATTCTTGTTCAATTCGGCAAATAAGTAACCACTTTTTCCCTGCTTAACATACTATAAGCGAGCAAAACAGTCTGCCAAGCAACTGAACTAGAAGAGTTGTTTAAAAATATTCAATTCCTATTGAAATCACTATGGTACAAGCAAATGACTTCGTGACTTTAAGTTACTCTCATTTATCCTGTCTTAAAAGTTAAGACTTCGGTTGATCGAGCCTTGTTTGGAGAATTTTTAGCATGCTGTGACAAATTTCAGCGTGTCCCTTAGTATATCAGATGACTCTCTTAAACAGATCCCATAGGAATTTGCAAATTTGTATTTGTCTTTTTACCGTAACCTGCCTCATTCTTTATAACCAGCCGCTAATATGTGAGCAGGGTATGAGACTATTAATTAACATGTAAAAAACCCAAATAAGCAAAGTTTTAATAAAATTGAATGAAATGACCTTTAGGTTGGGCGGATTACGTTTTCAAAACTTACTATCATCGCATTCTTTAATAATTCTGCAGACAATTTTATTCACTAAAATGTTGCCGAGCAGTGCAGAATATAAAAGTGGTATTTCGTATGGATTCATGCAAATGCGAATTACTCGATATAGTAAATGTGAGTTGTATAAATTACATAACGAAAGTATTCCTATGTACATTTGATTTTTAGTTGAGACAGAAGTACGGTATTTTTTCGAAAATATATAGTGCACTGAACGGGGAACTTATCCCGAGTAAAGGGGTTTTTAAAATCACAACTTCGATATTGATTTTTTAGTATTTATTCGAAAATAAAATTTTGAACAAACTATAAATGGCAATGAGTAAATTTGAATTTTCTCCATGACGTTTGACGAAATTGAACCGTTGGCAGTTTAGTTGTAGCACAACAACTCGCAGCAGCAAATTAACTGATAGAAGGGCGATGAGTTTGCACAAAATGCAAACGTTCTCCATTTTCAGTAGGTCTTTTAAGTCGATTGTGTCATTTTGTGCAGTCAAAATCACTCTCAGTTAGATGGTCAGCAGCGAATCGATTTATTTTTACACCTTCCTTTCCCAGTCGGCTAATGTAGTTTGAGATATTATAGTGGTAGGCGTTCGCAAGAAGTAGGTTGATAGCTGATTGGTCGTACCTGTGTAAGCTCATGATTATTCTTACTCAGTACATTTGAAGAGAACTAACATTATACTTTAAGCTATCAATACCTGTGACAGCCTGCATAGGCTGTATAGCGATCTTCTCGAAATTTGCATATTAATTGTGCTCCAGCCGGTGCCATACACTCCTTTTCAAGAGCGCAGAGCACATACCTTTAATATCCTCATAAGAAAAACAGGGAAGTACTTACTCAAAAAATTACCATTTAAGAATTTCAACAGCGTCTGTCGTTCTCACAACAAATGCCAAGTTGGCGTCATGGTTCATGCAAACTTCTTTTTTGATAACTTCAGTGTTTGTTGGGATATATTTATAAATACCTAAATATAGAAAAAAACATTCTTAAGCTTAGTAAATAGTTTAGAAGCAAATCAGAGAAATGATGAAAAACCTGACAAAGGTTTCAAATCGAATAGTGCCTTGTAAAGCTATCAAAAAGAAATACAAGTTGCAAAAAATTCTGTTTTAGAGCAAATATAGGAACGCTGGCTTTCGCTATGTTAAATTAGTGGTACATAGTATGGAGTGAATATATCAAACGAAAAGTGCCCTACCCGGATGAGTGGCAGCAAAGATACTGTGATCCGAAGGGACGTGTAGCAAGAAAGCGGGCTAAAAAAAATATTTGCTAAAGCTAATAGATACAAAATTCGGCTGAAAATTGAAAAAATTAACCTTGACACAATCCAAACCCGATTTGTTGTTAAATCTGAAAAAAA